TTCACCTGTTCTCCACTTTGGTGATCACTCCTACAACCATATCTTTGATCTGGTCACTACCAAGAATGGATCTACCTCCAAAACTTATTTCCATTGTATAATTACTACCCCTCCTATTCTGTCATTTCTCGCATCTCCTAATTTTCACTGCTTATTATTTTTAATTTTCTTCAGTTTTAACCCATATTTCTTGAATCCAAACTTTCTGCTCCTTACTATTCCTACTGGGACTGACAGCTCAGGTCATCAGCGTCTTTCTTCATGCACAATTGCTTTAACCTTCCAGATGGTCTCTTTGCAACCCTCCAGAATTAACCTCTTCAAGTCCCAAACTGACCACAGTATTCCTAAACTTAAAAGTGTGACCTGATTCCCCTTTGTCAAAACTCATGAGGCTCTTCTCAGCTGTACCCAATTCACCCAACCAGAATTTTTTTCCGTAAGCAGAGTGCCTCTAACTAAACTCTCTTTCATTTCCTCATCTCTCGCATGCTCCCAGATATAGACATGTCACAGCTTCTTGTCCTGCCATGACCCTATTCTGGAGATTTACTCCATCCACAGCCCCTGATGGGGCAGCATACCTGTGTACACCTCTCGCCCCTACCATGGCCTACTAGCCATGGGAAGGCCTCTGATTCAAGGGCAGAGCACAGGGACTGGCCAGCATGCTGTGAATAGTGTGGCCAGATTCATCTCCTAGGAAATTATGAGACTCTTCCAAGGAAGCTGTGGGAGCTACATATGAAAGGCCGTGCAAGTGCAGAAGAAACCAGTCCACAGAAAGAGAACCAAACAGGGAACACCATGCAGCCCCTGAGAAATAGAAACAGAGGAAGTAGTTGCTTCATTCCAGTGGCCAGTTCTCAGTTCTCAGTTCTCAGGAGGCCTGGTTGCACAGGACAACCTGTCCTTGGGTCCCTTTGAGATCCTGGTACCTTTACATCCAGCCCCACATTTTCCTGAGTGACCTTCAGTGGCCCTCTTTCTTCCATTCAAAAGAGCCCAGACTAGAACTTTCAGTCCGTTGAACTACTGTTGCCCAACACGTGATTTTGTGCTTGGCACACATTCCATGTCTTCCCGGAATGCTCTATCCCCTTTTTCCGTGTGGAAACTACCTACTTATCCTTCAGGAAAACAAATGCCCTTTCATGAGTCCCCAGCCCCTCAGGCCAGTCCCTCCTCTGCATCCCTTTAGCGCTTTGCTCATTCCTTTTTATCATAACATCTACCGCACTGTTTTGAAATTGTTTGTGTTTCTGTTTCTGTTTCTGGACTCTCAGCCTCTTGGGGACAGTATTGTGTCCTGCTCATATTTTTATCTCCCCACTCTGGGGGTGAGTAGCAGATTCTGTTGGTTCCCTACCCACTGCATGTACTCTGGGGGTCACTCACCTGAGACAGTTCCCATATACTCCACTGACTTTCTGTGTCCCCCTGCCTGGCAGTGCTCCTCGCAGGCCAGGGGAAGCTTCCATCAAGGAGGAGGTCAGGGGGTGGGGGCTGTGAGCACCTGCACTTCCTGCCCCTCAGCGTGCCCGCTGTGTTCTCCCCAGTCCCTCAGGGGGGCCGTATGAAACTGAGCCCCTATTGCCTGTAAGAGCTTTCTTTCTTCCCTTCCCTGTCTCATTTCCTCACTCCCTCACTGTGCCTTCTAGAATCACCTCCCAAATAAACTACTTGCACCCAAATAAATACATGTCTCAGCGACTGCTTTTGAGTGAACCCAAACCAAGACAGGGAGATAAAGCACACAGTGTTCGACAGATAGTGAATGAGCAGCGGAGACCTCCCGCGCCTCACTCCTGCTCCCATTGGCACGGGACGCCAGGAGACATGCCCACCCCCCTACCCCCGGCTCACTTTCTTCTCCCCAGGTAGGACCCCACGGTGAAGCACTTTGACCTCCCGCTCATCGGCACCCTCACCTCCCTTGGTCACTGCCCATTCAGAAGGGCCGACCCCGACCGTCCCCAAGGACGGATACAGTGTTGGGCTCCCTCCACTGCTGCCGCTGGGAAGAGGAATGCTGTGGAGGAAACTCTCCTACTATGCCAGTTGGGGCCATTTCACATTTATAATGCTCAGCCCTCAATGTAGCTTCAAAATTTTTTCACTTGCCCCCAGGTCATTTCCTTTAGCCACTTCCACAGAGCCTATGCCCACCTCTCCCCAGGATGCCCACTCCCTTCCGCATTCTCTCCCCTGCCCTCCCAGTATTGGGGGTACTTGAGTGAGAGAAGTTATCAAGTTTCAGCACTTGCTAGAAGAAGAGCTGAGATACCAGAACCACAATGAGGCCCCTTGGTATATAGCCAACTAGAGGTAGGAGACAGGCTACAGAGATGCCAAGTACAGTGTCGTGTGCAGTGCAAGAAATAATTTCTAGAGGGCTATCAACCTGCCAGAATGGTCTGGACTGGCCAGAGGAAGAGGGCACTGTGGTGATAGCGAAACAAAAGGACAACACTTGGGTAAGTACTATTATTAGCTCCATTTTTACATATGAGGAAACTTAGGCACAGAAAGTTTAAGTAACTTGCCCAAGGTCACACAGCTTGTAAATGGTAGAGCCAGGATTTGAACCCAGACAGTCTGGCTCCAGAGCCCGTGAACTTAACTACTACATGACACTGCATTTACTGATCTTTCGACACAAAATTATTGATAAATGATTAAAAAGTCAGCACAATGCCACCCATTATCTGCTTCCCAAGGCTGGGATGCTTATAATACATATCAGATCATTCATAATACATATCAAATAATACATATCAAACAATTCAGAGGAAAAATACTATATGTATAATCTGCCTTGCATTATTACATATCCCTTATTAGTGGATATGAAACTGAAATGGGTTCATATTTTCTCCTGGTTGCTCTGTGGATGCAAAAGGATCTGTGGATCATGGCTAAAGGCAAGTCAACGTGCTATAGCAAACACAATGGTAAACTGAGGCACCCAAAAACATGGCTAAACAAACCACGGCTGTACCTCAGCTTCCACATCTGAAAAACAGATGGCTGGAGTAGAGAGGATCTCAGGTCCCTTCCAACGCTAATATTTTGTTTTTCCATCTTCGTATAGATAGGAAAAACTTGATTTCAAGCCCATCTAGATTATGCTTGAAATTCCACCGATGTGGGTGATTGCAGTCAGAGACGGGGGCCTGTGTGAGGACTGGTACCTTCAATGCCACATAATCTCCCTGCTCTTGAGAACATCAGCAGCAGCATTTTCATATCTGAAAATCTCTGTGCCTACTATGTTAAATGCCCTCAGATTTGCAAACTGTCACCTGGAGTGCACAAGAGGTCGCAGATGGTTCTAACTTCAGAGTGTCCTTGTCTACTAAAAGGAAGGCACTGATTAGAAACTATTTCAGGCCAGGATTTGGGTCTGCTACATATAGTAGGGATTAGTCCATCAGCGCTAACCCTGGCTCAGAGGATAACAAGCACATTCTCTCTGTGCGGCTCGGTTCCAGCTTCTGTCCAGCTGCTGTGTTCTAGAGACCTGGTGCTCAGGCAAAGCCCACATTTTAAAATGTAAAGGAAAAAGCACTGTCCGGTAAACTCTTAGTGGAGACGGATCACATCATGGGGTCAGCGGTGCATCCACAGGAGCATTTTTATTGAACTCACCGAGAAGGTAAGAGATCTCTGACCTCGGCCGCTTTAGAATAAGAATTACTCACCCCATCCCTGAGAAAGCCTTCTGGGAGTGCTAGAGAATACCGTCCAGAAAAGACTACCTCAAAAATGTATACATAATATGTTGAGAAGGAAAAAAAGTGAACACAGACACGGATCACGCCTGGCTTCACCCCTTCCCTCCTAACTTAGTCCCAAGGGCAGAGAGGACGCAGGCTGTCTGGGGGCTCCTCCCGGTCCATTTAACTTCTCCCTACCTCCCTCCTCCCTTCATAAACGGGCTTCCACGTTTGGACACTGGCTTCTTTTCCTCAGAGGCGGCCCATGCAGTTATTCAAGAATGTGAGTCCCCGCAGGACAACCTCTCCTCAGGTTTCTTCACATGTCTCTTGATGAGTCTTACGTGCAGTTTGTTGTTATTAGTGCCCTGGAGTCGATTCGGAGTCCTAGCCAGCCTGTGCGCACGCAGCACAGCGGAAGCCTGCCTGCCCTTTGCTCCATCCTCGCACCTTCCTGCGCTCCAGCAGACAGCGCTCCACTGCTGTTCACCAAGTTTTTGTGGCCAACTTTTTCGGAAGTGGTAGTAGGTGCTCAATAAACGTTTGGTGAATTGATTCGTGTGTGCACGTGTGTGTTGCGGGGGGTAACTTGGAAGGCACTTTCGCTCGCTGGCGTGCCACGTGCCTTACAAACGACCTCCTTTACTCTTCGTGGTCTGTGGATATCACAGACACCATTTTTCCGAAGAGAGAAACTGACCAGCAAAGAGGGTAACTTGCTCCGGCTCACACAGCTCATGCGGGCCACAGGGGCTCCTCTCCCGCATTTAGTCTGCGAGGCGTTAATAGAGAGGAGAAAGAAGGGGCGGGGGGAAAGGCCTGGCTTGGGGCCACTCTGCAGGTGGTGGCGCACACCTGGAGAGCTTGCTTTGGGAGGGGACGAAATGGGACATCTTTGATTGCCATTATTTATCCGAAAGATAGTCCCCTCAAATAACTCTCCGGAGTTTACATTTTGAAACGTCTCTTACCCTCCTACGCCCGCTTGTCCCGGGTCAGAGCCGAGTCAAGTTGCCTGCGAGCCCAGGCCCCGCCCCTCGCCGCGCTCCGGGTAGAAGCCGGGAGGATGCGGGGCAGGAGGAGGGGGTGCAGGCCTGTCCGGATGCAGGACCGGCCCATCCTCAGGGCTTTCTCGGGACTACAGAGACGCGGCCACCATATAAACTCGGCCGTCCTCGCTGCCCTCGCCCGCCCCCAGCGTCGCCCCTTGCTCCTCTCCTTGACCACCCCCGCCCCCGAGGTGCCGATCTGATCCCTCCGTCCAGCCCGGGGGACACTCACCCTGCCACTCGAGGACCCGCTCGGGGGTAGGCGCCGCCGCCGCGCTCTTGGCGCAGCCCCGCGGCGCCGCCAGCAGCAGCAGCAGCAGCGACGGCAGCAGAAGCATCGCTAACCACTGGACTCCCCCGGCGCCCCGGGTCCTGCCAGCAGGGGCCAGCGCTGCAGCCCGAGCGCGCTGCTCTGCGGTGCGGTAGGCGGGACCGCAGCCTCCACCGCGCTCCACCCCTCCCGGGGCCTCGCCTCCCATGCGCCCCGGAGACCCACTCCGTCACCCCTGTCTCCACAGTGTGCGGACACTCGGGGCTCTGGGCTGGGAGACCGGGAAGTCGCAGAGGTTTTCCCCGCCCCACCCACTCCGGCTTGGAAAAGAAGGAGGAAGAGGGGGTGGACCATCTGCCCATCCCAGAAATTCCTGCCTTTGGGGTGGGGAGGGAGGAGGGGTGAGGCTGCCCAGTGCATGCTCCTCCTGCTTCCAGCCTCCTCTCTCTTTCCTGGGGGAGGCCGAAGAGGAGTTGAGAGTGAGCTGAGTCGAGAATCTCCGGGACAGGAAGTCTGACATCTGGGTTTGCAAACCTCCCAGATTCTGGTAAACACTGCGGGTTTGGCAGCAGGCAGTTTAGTCAACCGAGCTGCTCCGTGAACCCAGGAGTTTTGGGAGCGCTCTGGACCTCCTCTCTTCTGCAATGTGGACCCCTAGAGATGCCTCGGATGCGCCCGGGTGTGCACCCTCCTCACTCCAGAGTACCCGGAAGGTTCTTCCATTGTTGAGCTCCTTTCCTCTCCTTGGATCCCCTAACCCAGCAAAATAGCTGGATTATCTCCCTTTGTAGCTGAGAAAACTTATCTCGAAAGGCAAAGTGATTTGCTCTAGGTTACTCCTTAATCTAGCAAAAGTTACTCCCTAAACTAGTAACTCCTGACTAGAATGTGGTCCTTCTAACTGTAGTCTTTCAAATAACCAGCAGAACACTAGAAACATTTATTATTCATAAGAACAGGCTGATATAAGACCTTTCCTAAATAGCACCTTGACATTAGTCATTAGAACACAAGAGGAGGGAAGAAAGCAAAAGAGAACTTTACAAAAAAGAGGAAGGTGGTGGGATCTTGGAGGACCCTGCCTTTCTCAGCTGCGTATTGGCTAAGACCAAACCAACATTTCTGAGTAACACTGTCTGCTATAGACTGAATTGTGTCTCCCTCCTCCAACTCATATGTTGAAGCCCTAACCCCCAGCGTGATTATATTTGGAGATAGGGCTCTTAAGAGTTAAGATTAACTGAAGTTGTAAGGGTAGGGTCCTAGACAGGATCGGTGGCGGTATAAGGAGGAGAGGAGAGAGAGATCTCACCACCCGCAGGCCCTGAGGACAGCCCGTATGAGGACACAGCGAGAAGGTGGCCATCTGCAAGCCAGGAAGAGAGCCCTTATCAAAAACTAAAACCTGCGGGCCCTTGATCTTAGATTTCCAGCCTCCAGAAGCGTGAGAAATAAATTTCTCTCGTTTAAACCACCCAGTCTATGATATTTTGTTATGGCAGCCCAAGCAAACTAATAAACTGAATTAGCCTGGTTCTTCAGAAAGCAGAGCCTGGGATGAGATCCCTGACAGGGGGTGGGATTCAAGATCAGCGTGAAATAGGAAAGAAGGGAAAGCCACTGCCTTGGCCATTGCACTAGCAACATGTGCTCAGTCCTGGAGGAAGCTTAGAAGGCCTCAGAACTGTCTGCCCTGGGGAGAAAGGGAAAGCATTTATCCATGGGCTCACCTTCCCTTCTGGTCAAGGTGATCCTAGTGTTATAAACTCCTCTGCACACTTCTGCAGCAGTGGTGAGCTTCAAGCATGGGCCTATCCCTTGGCATCTGAGAAGCCCAGGGGCAGGCAGCAAGTGAGTGGCATGGGCAGAAGTGAGGTGCTGTCATGTTGCCCCAGAGGAAACCAGGGGGAAGTCTGTGCAGAGGTGGCTGCTGCAGAGGTGGCTGGAGTAAGAGGTGGGCCTGAGAGGTTCCAGTGTGTGTACTGAGTCAATAGCATATCATTATATGTAGATGTCAGCATTCCTGCCTGAAAACATGCAGAAAAGGGATGCTTTCAGCATACCAGACTATATAGACTTCAATCACAAGAATTTATCAATCTCCCTTACGGCCTCAGAACTACATTATGTGCTATGGGAATAGCCCCAAAGTAGACAATTCAGACCTGTCCGAGTGGGCTGGCATCTTTTGCAGCAGTCAAGTGCAATCCATGTGGCATACTTAGGTTAACCTTTGGTGAGGTGCAGTGCACTGAGAGTAAAAGAGAGAGACCAGGAGGAGTTAGCGTGATTGTGCAGGGTTAGATGTGTTCAGATAGGGTGGAGGGTATTGGGAGGAAGAAGCTGCTCCAGGATGAGAAGAAGTTGTATGAAAAAATACAAAGGTTGGCGTGAGGGATGCTTGAATGGGAGACAGCGAGTGGGCAGGCCTGGCTGGAGCAAAGGGCAGCTATTGGGGCACCCTGGCAAGTGAGGTCAGTCACTGGGACATTGGACTACCTCTACTGACTGCGGCATCTGGGTGAGACAGTCACCTGCTTCGGTTTTATCCACTGTATAATGAAAAAAAGAAAAAATCTTCCCTGACCCACAGCAGATAATATTCCAAAATAGCAGAGTTGTTAATATGAACAGGATAGAGGGGAAACAAGCCATATTTCATCTTCAGAGCAATTAGTGTAATGAAGAATGGTGGTGACAGCTTCCTGCCCTACCGACACCACATTTCCTATTCAACAATTAGAAGACTCAGAAAGAGCTAGTTTTTCATGTCGTCTTCCTGAAGTGTTGTGGCTCTGAGGTGGAAATCTGTGGCAAAGAGCTTTTTAGCCTTTGAGAAAATGATCCTTCCCTGTACCCTCCGGTCTTGTGTCCATTTCAGATTTATGAGGGAGGGTAGTGCAATGGTTAAAAGAGGTACTCTGCACTTACCAGCAGGCCACTTAGCCTCCCTTAGTCTTGGATTCTGTTTGTGTAAAATGAAGATGATAATACTTGCTTCACAGTGTTGCTGTATTAAATGAGATAAGTATGTGCAGCACTTAGCACAGAGCCTGGCATATTGTCAATGTTCGTTCATGGGAGCTGAGTGTGTGAGGAGGGAGTAGGGCAGCAAAGAGAAGAGCAAAGGAGGGGTCAGAAGCAAGCACAGAGCAGAGCAGTGTCTGTTGTCACGATGTCTCCCGACCCCACGTGGTATATCTTTCCATTGCTCAACTTCTCATTTTGAATTAGAATTAGTTATTTATTCATACCTCTCACCTGAATGTGAGTTCCTTGAAGAACTGACTATATTTTCCTTCTCTTTGAATCTCCAGGGCAGCACAGTTCCTGGCACTTAGTAAATTCTCAAAAAATTTCTGGTAAATGAATGAAGGAAGGAAGGAAGGAATGAGGCTGAAAGAAATATAGTGTTTGGAGTCACTTGAGGCTCAAGAAAAATATTATAAACCTGAATTATGTTGAATGAAAACATAAATTGAAAGAAAATAAGTTGAAAGAAAATGCGGAGATTAAAACTCAATGATGGGTTCTGGTGAGGGTCAAAATTAACAAACATTTTTTGAGCACTATAGGAATCAGGGTCTCGGCAAGAAAGGGTGAGACCCTGATTTACAGTGGAGGTTTAATGAGGGAACTACTTACAAGGGTATGGGCAGAGCGAAGAGAACCGAAACAGGATGGTAAAGACCCACTAGCAAGTGCTGGAAGCCGTCATTACTATCCCTAGGCCTGAAAGAACAAGGGCAGTGAATAGTCACAGGACCCTCAAGACAGCTGTTCCTATGGGACAGGGAACATCCGACAGGACAGGAGAAGAGCAACTACTACCAATCTGAAGCCTGTGGGGGAGGAAGCTGAGAGAAAAAATGGCTTGTCCTGTCTTCTCCTGCACTCTGATCTCTTCCCATTAGCTGAACCCAGCTGCAAGGCAGTGGGCGAGGAGTCCACAGAAGTCAGCTTCCCAGAGCACAGAGCAGAGTGGAGACTACGGACAGTGAGTTTGGAGGGACAAGAGGGGAATATCCAATGCAAGCACCTTCTGTCAGTCTTCATGCTGGTGCGAGGATACAACAGAGAAGAGGGCAAAATGAGTCCTTGACCATGATCACAGAGTTTAGAGTCTTGGGGGAGACATAAACAGTAACCAAACAATTATAATAGAGTACAATACATGTCATGATATGAGGATATATCTGAAACTCAAGAAGTAATTAGAAGGGACACTTATCAAGGCTTGAGTCTCAGAGAAGTCTTCCAAGAAAAAGTGGCATCCAAACTGGCACCTCAAATACTCAGCTGACTTCAAAATATACAGTTAAGAAAATGAAAAGAAGCCACCAACTGGGACAAAATATTTGCAAATCATATATCTGATAAAGAACGTGTATCTACAATATATAAAGAACTCTCAAACTCAATACTAAGAAAACAAACAACTCAAATAACAAATGGGCAAAAGATTTGAACAGATACTTTACCAGAGAAGATATACAGATGGTGAATAAACACATGAAATGATTTTCAAGACCACTGGGCATTAGGGAAAGACAAATTTAAACCACAATGATATACTACTGTACACCTATTAGAATGGTTAAAATTAAAAAGGCTGGCCACACTAAGCATTGGCAAGGATGAAGAGAAACTGGAACTCTTTCACACTGCTGATAGGAATGTAAAATGATGCAACAGTTTGGCAGTCTTTTAAGAAGTTAAAAAACATGTAACTACTTAGTTTCCTAGAGCTGCCATAGCAAAGTACCACAACAGGAATTTATTCTCTCACAATTTTGTAGGTCAGAAGCCCAAAATTAAGGTGTCAGTAGGGCTGGTTCCTTCTTGAGGTCTGAGGAAGAATCTGTTCCACGCCTCTTTCCTAGCTTCTGGTGGTTGCTGGCAGTCCTTGGCATTACTTGGCTTGTGGCTGCATCACTACAATCTCTGCCCCCATCGTCACGTGGCCTTCTTTCCTGTATATCTCTCTCTATCTTCACATAACCTTCTTACAAGGACATCACCCGTTGGATTTAAGGCCCACCCTAAGCTGATATGACCTCATTGTAACTAATTACATCTGAAAAGACTCTATTTCCAAATAAAGTCACATTCTGAGCTTCTGGGTGGACATGAATTTTGGGGGACACTATTCAATCCAGTACAATAACCATATGATCCAGCCATTCCATTCCTAGGTATTTACCCAAGAGAAATGAAAGCATAAGTCCACACAAGATTTGCACATGAATATTCATAGGAGCTTTATTGTAATAGCCAAAAACTGCAAACA